CCTCGTGCACTCTCATTCCCGTTCCCGCTGTGCTCTGCAGATTACCAGATCAGCAGTGGAGCACACGGAGAAGTTCACGTAAGTCAGGGTAGTGCTTTTTGGTAATGGCGAACGGGACGATGTAACCGACCGACAAATCAGGATGGGCTAACGGCGCTGATCGTCAACTGGCCTGTGTCGTTATGGCCGAAGTACCGTTGAGTCTGAAGGCAAAACTGCCTCTTTCCAGGGGGTGACCTTCATCCCCATGTTCATGAGTCGTGGGCATGAATTCGTGCACGAACTTCGATCCTTCTACAATCGCCTACTGCAATGCGCATTCTGACCGCTCGGCTGCCACGTCTCAAAACAGTCCGAACATCAAATATCCGAGAGGGACAGGGCCTTGGTGCAAGTCCGTCGCTTCTCCAGACTGACAGTTTACAGCCGCGATATTTAGACCACGTCTTGCAAATACTTGCAGAAACGAAAGCGAAACAACTTGCACTTGTTCGACCGACCCATTGATGATTCCGGCGACGGCCAAGAGCAACCCGGGGCCAATGTATCGAAAGACTCCGTAGCAGACTCGGGCCATCTTCTGCTGATACTCAAACGCTGGCACAAGATCAACAACGTTGGAGACATTGTCTGACGCTGCTACCTTCGTGACTCAAAACGACAAGCAGTCATCGAAACTCACTGAGCCACTTATGGTTCGAAACGAACACAATTTACACCCGGACCAGCACTATGGGAAGCACGAAAACCAGGCATATTATAACCTTTTCTAAATTCACTACGCATAATAATTTCAAACTCAGGTTCAAATGAGATTATTTCATTCAGTACTGATCGTCGGTTCAGGTATGCTGACCATTCCTTTGTCATCGATCTATGAAACAGACCATCCATTAATATATAACTTTGTGGTCCGAATCACGCAGTTGATGCAGCTGACCACTGTCCAGTCATACGGATTCAAAGCGGCTACTGCAACACTAAGCGCTGACAACATTCAGCGGTCTGCGCCAAAATGTACCATTCCGCTCCCGGCATGTGACCTGGCACCGTTTCGCTGCATTTTCTGCTTGACAATGGTTATGATGATGTCATCGTCACCAATCCTTGTCGATCCAATGCCATATGAAGACTTCTCCAAGACTTCTGCCCTCATAATCTTTCTTGATCCACTGAACTTCTTCAGCTTATACTGTCATCGATCTAGAGGTCTTCCCACTGGCCGTTCAATCTCTTGGAAACAAGTCTAATATCTCACCGATTTAGTGACGGTTTAGTGATAGTTCTGTACATCTTGATTTAATCTTTAATCCGCTAAATTCAATGGATCTCATGATCAAGTAATTATTGAACATGAACTGAATCTTCTTCAGGTTCCCATTTAGTTCAAACTTTCGTGTTTGCCTTGTTCAGCTCTTGGAATCTTGTTTGAAGCTCATTTGGTGCCCCTAAGAGAATCAGAGTGCCCATTTATATTCAGTCCTTGAATTTCTTAACGGAGTGTCTTGAAAACCCGTGAATAACTTCGGTGACATTGCGTCTCCCTGGTGGACTTCCCTTTCGATTTTGAACTTGCTTGTGCTTTCATGCAGCATCCGACTGCCAGTTGCATCCTTGTAAAGCATGGCGATGAAGCTTATGTACCCTTACCTGATTCCTCGGCTCCTCAAAAAATCGAATATGGAACGGGTGCGTATTGAGTGAAAAACCTTTTCAAAATCAATAAATCAAAGGCATAGAGGAATTCGGAGTTGATATTCGATGCGTCTGGGCTACCTGTTGTGCCACCTGATGATGATCCGCCATACTAAATCTACTTCTGAATTTTGCTAGCGCCACAGATTCTGTGCACAGCGCCCAGTTTTTCTTGAAGTCTGTTCGTCGGTACCTTTATGAAGATCCTACAGAGAATTGGCTACAGAGTGATCAGCAGGCAATGTCTAAAATCCTGTCTCGCTTTATGCGGAAAATAATCAACAATGGGATTATTCGTCTTAAAATTTTCATTTCTTTCAGACAGCGTGAAAATAAGTGCCTTAATATCATGATCAATGATTCACTCACATATTCCAGGAGTTCCACTGTGATGCGGTGGCCGCGAGAAGCCATACTTCCCTCTGACTTTCCTACTGTACATCACACTTTGTCTGGCAACGTACCTGGAATTTTGTCAACGTCGTATTTTTATGCTTTTAATCGTCACCAACGATGTTCATCCTTTTACAGTTTTCTATAGAAATCTTCCAATCTCTTTAGAATCTCATGTCTACCTCTGGTCATAGTCCTGTTTTCTACTTCGAAAGCTAAAATTGGTCGTTTCTCAACTGTCATTCTTTTATCTAATTTCTGTATGCTTCACTTACTTTGAATGATTTCCTTCACCGATGTGAAGTTGAATGCCCGGATAATATCCTACTTTATGTTAAGAACTTAAAGGTAAATATTTTTCTTTTTCTTCTTGATTAGTTCGTATGCTTCATGACCCTTGTTCCAGAGATTTTTTTCGCCGTTTCTGTAACATTCTTCCTTACTTTCTGATGAATTAAGCTGATGTCCATTGCTTTTACTGTTTCTTCTTCTTGGATTCCATGAAGGAACTGGAACCTGCTATTTAATTTGAGTTGAAAAACAGTGAGATATTTGTTTTCTGATTATACATCAAGTAAGTCGCGTTTCATGCTCACTGATATCCCTCATTTTAAAATTGAATCTCGAGGCGTACCTTCCATCTGAAGAGCCTGTAATCGCCTCCCTCTTGCATTAAACTTGTTCAGCGCCACCACATCCTGCACTGTCATCATTTGGTCATGCAGCATGAAATTAATTTCATTCTTGACGTCGTTTGCGCATACTAATGTCCATCTTGAGCTTGCTTTCTTTCTGCATGAAGGTGATCATAATAATTTAACTTGTTCTTCTCAAGAAACTCCACTAGTCGGTCACCCATGTTGTTCCTTTCCCTGGAGGACCAATTCACTGGAGTTTGCCTGTCCTCTGGCTCAGCAAATCGCTTTCTCTACTATAATGGAATCCTGAAATCATGTAAAATCAGATGCGCATTTCCTTTTGATGAAAGCATGTCCTGTCCTGCATTTGTTTCCTCCTCTTGATACGCATTGCATGTTCATTTCTACACGAAACAATATTGCATAATATTGTGACCGTCCATAAGGCTCTAGCAAATTATTGGAGTGTCATTTTTAACGTAGAGAAAATATAGACAAAACGAATTAACGACGACAAAGTGACATTTGTAGAATTACTGTTCTGAGTCACACTGGTCTTTACATATTGTTGCTTGTGACCTGCAAATAGCCAATCAATGTTCAGGAAAAGATGGTTTTTTCGTGGTCATACACCAGTTGAAACAATCAGATTTTAGGAGCAGATTGTTTCTAGGCGGTTTATAAAAAAGTGGGCTAATCAGATTCTGGAATTACGGCCTTTTTGCGGTTGTGTAGTCATTTTAAAAATAACACTGAAACGCAGAGTATGACTACGCGCCTAAAGTAGGACGCAGAAAAAATAACGCATTTTGGCAGACATAACCATGGAATAAATGTTAGATCCGCAACAGTAATATTCTTTCAAACTTACGAGGCTACAATAAGCAGCCAATTGTCCTTAAACCTAATCTTCTTATGCGGTATAAAGGCGAATACTTTCCTTGCCTAAGCATGTGTAACAAATCTACAGTACAACAATGCCTTGAGGAATATGAATGTATTAATGTTTTACAAACGTTCATTCATTCTTAACTTTATCTATTTTTCCATTCATTCGTTCATCGTACACTCCCTCGTCCATACAGCAATTC